AGCATAGAGACAAGGTCTACGATCCTCTTCTCAAAGAGTAAAATACATAGATCCGGTCATTGAGGATAGACAGAATCATACAACAGGTAGATCTTATATATAGACGAGTATCTCAGATTAATATTTATCGCTACAAGGATCTCATTATAAAGTGTCTAGCTTAAATAGCATAGTTTATCTTGGACTACTCTATTGTTAGATACAGCCTCATTGACCGGCAACGGCCCGCTTTGTATCTCGTGAGCTCGCCACACACTTATTTTACCGCACCCCTTGGCATTTTCCTGCCAACAGTGAACTCTTTTTTTTGCCTTGCAGTCTTTGTGCTCAAATTTTAAACGGATGAGCTCAACCACTATTCTGCGGACAAGGCGAACTCTTGCCGAGAGTTCAGGCTATATCGATGGTACTCGTCGCATCACGGACAATAATGCGGTGAAGACAGACACTTCATGGGACAATGAAGCCGATCAGCATCCTCTGGGAGTGAGACCTTCGGGAAATGCCCTGACATCTCACCAAAATGCCCAAACCTCTATGGGCTCCTTCAGCCATTTGCCAGATGGCTTACTGCCGGTGATCCTGGAATTCCTTGACCGACACAGCCTTGCCAACCTAGGTGCGACATGCCGGGGACTCTACGCCTACTCCACATATGACCAGCTATGGAGAGATATTGCAGTTAATGAGACGGAAGAAGACTTCGAATGGCGGGGAAGTTGGCGAGCATCTCTCATGCGCCTCCCATCAGCGGAATTGGCGAAAGTGGATTGCAGGTGCTTGTTTTCCGATTCACTACATCGACCGTTTCTCTGCTCCAGCATACCCTTGACTCCGTATGTTTCAAGCATTCCCCCCCAGAATGAGATTCCACGGTTGGAAGACATCTCGCCTGAAGAATTCAACATGTCATGGGTTGACAAGCCATTTATCCTGACAGCACCTGTGAAGAAGTGGCAGGCCTTCAGAATGTGGGATCTACAGCATTTACTAACAAAGTATGGGGATGTTTCTTTTCGTTGCGAAGCGGTTGATTGGCCGCTCAGGACCTACATCAAGTACATGGACAGTACTAAGGATGAATCGCCGTTGTATCTGTTTGATCGGGCCTTTGTCGAAAAGATGGGGTTGCAAAACGCTTATGATATACCGAGGGCATTCCAAGGAGATTTTTTCAACCTCCTCAAGGACCAGAGACCTGATCGACGTTGGCTGATTATTGGACCCGAAAGAAGCGGAAGCACGTTTCATAAAGACCCGAATGCTACTAGTGCCTGGAATGCCATCATCCGAGGTTCGAAATATTGGATCATGTTTCCAAGCTCTATCCTTCCTCCAGGAGTCTACATGTCCGAAGACCAAAGCGAGGTCACTTCCCCCTTGAGTATTGCCGAGTGGCTGCTCTCTTACCATGCCGAAGCTCGCAGGACAACTGGTTGTATTGAGGGGATCTGTCGAGAAGGCGAAGTCCTACATGTCCCCTCAGGCTGGTGGCACTTGGTAGTAAACCTCGAGCCAGCTATTGCCATTACTCAAAATTTCGTGCCCAGAGCGCATGTCCGATCAGCGATTCGCTTTCTCAGAGACAAGGCAGACCAAGTTTCTGGATTCAGAGACAACATAACAGACCCCTATGCTCTCTTTATGGATCGCTTAAAGGAGGCTGATCCTAACCTGGCGGCATCTGTCGAGGAATCCCGCAAGCGGAAATGGGAAGAGGTTGTCGCTGGCCAGGATGAAGCTGATGGAGAGCGGCAAAAGTTTAGCTTCGGATTCGGCGATGATCTCGAGGAAGATGTCGAATGAGATGTGCCTTCAAGCATGTAGACCTCAATGACACGCTGCAGCTTTGGTGGGCGAAGTTTTATTGCTGAAGGCCACATATCCGATGAATGCGCCAACTGCCACCGCCCCCATCACAAAGCCGTTATAGGTCATGAACAGTAGCCTCACAGATGATTAGCTCGGAGTTGATGCGAACAAAAAGGGGGTCATACATGATGAAGAAACTATAGAAGACCTGCAAAGCATATAGACCAGCTCTGACAATCGTTCCTTGCCGTCCTGCTCCTTCCCTCGACTCCGATCCTGCAAGCAGTGAGCTTGATTCCGCCGGAAGGCCTTGATAGTCTCAGCGACGGCGCATAGCAACGTCCGGCAAGGGGAACGTACTTGTGTTGAAAGCATTCATTCTGGCATTGCATCTCTCGTCATATCTCCTGCTTATTTCCCGAACACACTCGTAGCCGGCTGTAAGGAGGGCAATGGCGGTAAGAGAGAGAAGAAGCGACATAGGGCCTGTGACTCTCCACGACTCGAAGACGATACAGAGGCCTTTCACTTGCCAATTGAAGAGCATCTTTATTCATCAGTATGATTGTCCTAAGACGAGGTCATGTTTCAAGACTCACATTCATGGAACATTGGCCATCATCCATTCCTCCGTGATCCATACCGCTGTGGTCCATTTTGCCTAAATCGTCACTTGCAAGTGCGAAGAGAAACGCCAGGGTAGAAATACTAGGAGTGAGTGGTGTTGACAGTGAATAAAGTGATACGTATGCTCCGAGTTCCGTCGTGGAAGAGACGCGGTTACTTCCCCAGTTAGCGCGGAGCATCTTCTTCACCTGCAGCAATTTCCTGATCACCCCTCTCACCACTTCCAAACAACCCACGATACCAATCTTGACAGGCATCTCGCTCAAAATGGCTGAGAACATTCCCCCGGGCTCAGGTTCTGCGCCAAAGCCTACAGCAAGCAGTGATCGGCCGGGATTACCTTGTAAGTCTGGCCAGATCACTCGCGTCTCACGACTCTTGCTTTCTTGATACCGTCTTTGGTTCTAACAATGGAACAGACTACGAGAAATTGAGGCGCGATTTACGGGACACTCTACAGAAGAAGCGGCTCCTGGATCGGAATCTGGTGAGTCTACAAACTGGGCAATGATTTATGGCGAAGCTAATGGCTCAGGCTGCCATAGAGGATCAGATCTACCGGCAAGAAACGACATACCTCGAAGAAACGGCGGTCGCTGGGAACATTGTCAAAGGTTTCGACAACTACATCAAGGCATCTGCAGTGTCGGCAGCAGCGAGTTCGGCGGGCGGGACAGTCTCAGGGAGCGCAGTCGGCGGCGGTGTAGGCGCAGGGCGCCGAAAGGCGGTTGTCAACGACACAGACCGTGTGTTCTCTAAGAGCTCAGTATCGTATATGAGAGATTCGGATTCCCCGAGCAGCGCTACGAGCACCCCCAACCACGCAGCCACGCCGACTGGGAGTTTTACTGCAGAAAAGACCGGCAACAAGAAGAAGAAAAAGAGCGCGGCTACAAACGATGAAGACACAGATGGGAGATCGACCAAGCGCCAGAAGATTACTTTTGGCGGTGTGCGCAAAATTCAGGATGATTGAGAGCAGTAAACAAAGTGTTTTGGATATTCGGGCACAAATTGCTGGCACACATGGCTATCGGCATCATCCTCTCAACAGCGCCAGCGACCACGGGCTTTATTGGAGACTCATTATTGGGGATGGCAAGCCGGGGAAGTTGCAAGTGAGGCCCCCCAACAGGGCAGTGCCTCGGTTATCTACCTCGGTGTCTGCCACTTCTCATCCTCGTCCCGATCACATATCTGCACCTTGCATCCTCTTTGGAATTGTCCAATGCTCTCCAGACGAATACCAAGAATTAGCAGGTCTCCGTATCTTGTACTTTGCAGAAGGGTTGTGTCACAGAAGCCCTCGGTCAATATGCCGCGTCTGTCGCCAATCTCGGCGGTAAGTACCGGAGAACCCGATTCACCATTTGCTTACACTGATTGTCGGATCTAGAAAGCTATTGATCGGTTGAGATCTTACAAAGCTCCCGATACAGTATGGCCGACGATGCCGCTCTCGCGAAAGGCGGCTGTTCTGATTCTACTTTTTGCGGACCCAAATGGAGAGTTGAGAGTAGTCATCACCATGCGAGCAAGCAATCTGAGTTCATATTCGGGTCAAGCTGCCTTGCCAGGCGGCAAAGCGGAAGAGGGTGAGACTGCTTTTGAGTGTGCAAGGCGTGAGGCTTCGGAAGAGATAGGCCTTCCTAGGCGTGCATCGGCTCTCCCACCACCTTTCAGAGTCGAGCATTTGTGCACAATGCCCACGAATTTAGCCAAGACCGAGCTGACCGTTGTTCCGTGTGTCGCATTTCTACATTCTTATGATCCAGAGACGGGGCAAGATGCCAATGTGGGGGAAAAACTGCTCCCAAGGTTGGACGCGAGGGAGGTGGCGGCGGTATTTTCGGCACCCTTCAGAAACTTCTTGTACATGGAAGATTTGCCAGGTCAGCCCAATCTACCCGGTAAACCAAGTGATTGGTACAAGGGAAGCTGGACAGATTGGCATCAAAGTCGATGGCGCATGCACAATTTCTTCGTTCCCGTCACCAACCAGATTGTCTCGAAGCCGAAGAGAAGCGAAGGGCAAAAGGCTGCGGCAAGCCACCTGGACAAGTATTCCCGGTACCGAGTCTTCGGGATGACTGCCAGGATTCTCGTCGATGCAGCTCGTTACGCCTATGACCAGGAGCCCACGTTCGAGCACAATTCTCACTTTGGAGACGAAGATATGATTGTTCGATTGCTGAAAATCGGTCGCTTGGGCGATGTCAGGAAACCAGGTGATGAGTTGACAAAGGAAGACTTGGTCAAAGCTGCGAACCTTTGAGCCACCATGGCTGCAAATTCCAGTGTCACGTTTCGACCCTCGTGCTGGTGCTAGCGCTCCGAGGAATGTGGGCAACTCCTCACTCCGATCGATGCTAAAAATACCTGCTCACTCAAAAGTTGTCGCAGCCGTTACCGGCTTGGTGTCTATGCACTTTCAGCGACCGCATCGTGAACAATGGAGCGTCCATTGAGCACGGGTCAACATGTACGTTGCAGCTGAAAACGGAGGCCTTTGTCTTGTATTTCGGGGTGTCGGCTGCGTCGCAGCTTGTGAATCTTCAATCATGGCGTCGATTGGGATTCAGTTGGTTCTGAAGCAAATCTCACAAAACGATGTTCAGCCGGGCTACCTGATCTCTAACCAAAATGAGCTCGCGCCCAGGATCTTCACATCGAATACGGCTGACCTCTCCGCCCCCATCGAAAGCACTTCTAGAACTCCAGAAGCAGGGTTTAGAGTTGTCAGTTTCTCGTCCACCAAATATTCTCCATCCTGGCTCAAATCACGCATCCGGAAGATCGAAACCCTCCGATCAGGATAAACCACTGCCACTTGAACCATTTGAAGGGAAGAGGAGGTCGTCAAGCGTCTATAGCACTGATACTACAATCACCAACATCATTCGCATGTACAGCGGCTATCGTGAGTTGGATGATAACCCACCTTTGCCAACACTGCATCACCCGCAAGCTTATCGAGATACTGTTGCACCCCTTCTCATCAGGCGCCTGAGCCTGAGCCAAAGCCCTTCGCCACCCTTGATGGTTGCGCCGCGAGAGGCCGCGTCGATTTTATCGCTCAGATCGGTGGCTGCATATACTAACGGAGTCTCAAGCAATAAGACGGCTCCTTCGTTTGCCGAATTCTCCCGTCAGCTCCAACAACGCAGGACTGAATTGGTTTCGCCGCTTTCGATGTCTTCGGCTGAGGTACATCGACAAGCAGCATATGATCGATTGGCTCCACCCTCACCGCAAGTCTCGTCCGTTGGACAATCGATATCCCTCTCTCAAACTCCACCCTTGCCAGACGCAATGTCTGGGACGATCTCTGATACCGAAGGCTCCGATCTCCTCCCACCTCCATTAGGTTTGAGTAGTTCGAGCCTTCCGAGTCCGCCGTATGACGACTGGGAAAAGCCCGCCGAATTCGATCCTGCTCGACATCATGAGCCCATTGGAGAACAATCACAGCAGCACAGCTCTGGCAAGGGTTGGTCGCAAAATTGGTTAGAGGACGAGTTCGTCAGCCAAAGTCCGGAGTCTACACCGGTTGAACTACAGCCTCGCAAGAGCTTCCGACTTAGAAGGAGTTCAACAGAACAGGAGCGGGAGAGGGTGATTTCTTATGCCGAAGCCAAGTATCCAAGTATGAAAAGAGACGGTGCTAAGCGGAAGACGCTACACAATAGCAGCGCGAGATCGAGCGTTCAACAAAGCGTTAGCCACTTAGTCAGATCTCTATCGCGGAAGGGCGCCCAGGTAAACAAAGAGGGCCCTGGGCAGGACAGTCTACCACGAGAAAGACAGTTAGCCATCCCTTCAACCCCTTATCAAGTGTACGGTGCTGAGGTCTTCTCCAATAAATTGCAGAAGAAGCAGCAGAAAGAGGCGCAGCAGGCTCAGCGGAAGCGTCAAAGAGGAAAGCCTGTCAGTCTGGTTACAGCGTACCAGAACAGTCAAAGTCAAATCGTCGGGGTTTTTGAGGGGGCAAAACGCAAATTGAGGCGGAAGTCATCGCAAAATAGACAGCGCAAGTTGAAGGAGAGTATTATCATCGTAGGCCCAGCTAAGACGACGAGGTCGGTGAATCCTATGGATCAATCTACAGTGGACAACGAAAACTCGTGGATTTAAAGGTGGTAATTGGTCCTACCACGCAGAAGGCGTTCATTTTGCTAGAAATTGCCAGTAGTTTAGCCTGGATAGGGGTACATACCGAGTACTGGGTAGTGGGAGCAGGAATGCCCAGGGCTTATAAACTGCCAACGGCTCCTCTTCAGCCTCGTTCAGCCTCGTCTTTCTGTTTCTCCAACAATGCAGCTGCTGACCGCCGAATTGACGAGGCAGGCATCGCAGCTACCCCGCACCATCAACTTGATCAGCTGCTGGAGTTGTCACCGACACTGCGTGATTGTAGGATCTAACCTCTGCTGTTTGAACTCCGAGCCAACGTCTCTCGTTTGATCTACTCGCTCCAGAAAACCCCTTACAGCTCTGAAGTGTTCTACCCTCTACACCGATCCTAATCATTGTTCGAGTTTCCTACAATGGGCGGCGAGACGTCTTCTCGCGCTACATCGTTCTACCCTAGACTCAGCACTCATCCCGTTGGCCAAAAGATTCAGAGCATCTATACCGACCGCTTGCGGCAATTTACATCTGGTGGCCAGTACGAAAAGGAGAACCTGCTTGCGAAGCTCTATCACAATGTCTGCGACGACGAAGACCATGTGAAGCTCTCTGTCTACTCTCCACCAAACCTCACGAGACCGACTTTCCACGATGCCACTTCTCATGCCTTTCGACGAACGCATCGCGGTGAATCCTTCGGGCCAGCTTGGGCTACCCATTGGTTCAAGATCCAACTCACTGTGCCTAAAAACATGCGAGACGGGGAACACTTAGAGTTCCATTGGGACGCAAACAATGAAGGCATGGTGTGGACAGAGGATGGAAACCCTCTGCAAGGCCTTACTGGGGGAGATCGAGTTGAGTGGATTCTGCCGAGAAGTTGGCGGGACGGCAAAGAGCACATTTTCTACATAGAGATGGCGTGCAACGGCATGTTTGGCAACGCACCAGGAGGTGACAGCATTCAACCCCCAGATCCAAACAAGTATTACAACCTTTGGAAGGCGCAGATTGTCGATGTCAATCTTGCCGCTCGCCAGCTTTACGTTGACTTTTGGATCATCGGGGATGCTGCTAGGGAATTTCCCGGCGACAGCTGGGAAAAGCATGAAGCCTTGCAGGTCTGCAATCAAATTATGGATGTCTTCATTGCTGGTAACGGATCGACTGCGTCAATCGAAGAGGGCCGCAAGATCGCTCAAAAGTATATCGGGATGAATGTCGATTCAGCCAAGGTTTATAGCTCAGATGAGAAGAGCATCGTGTACGGAATTGGACACTGCCACATTGATACGTGCTGGCTGTGGCCATGGGCTGAGACGAAGCGGAAAGTTGCCCGAAGCTGGTCGAATCAGTGTGACTTGATGGATCGATACCCAGAACACCGCTTTGCGTGCAGTCAAGCACAGCAATATAAGTGGCTGAAAATGTACTACCCTTATGTCTTCGACCGGGTCAAAGCCAAGGTCAAGGAGGGAAGATTCCATCCGATCGGCGGGAGTTGGGTCGAGCACGATACGAATATGCCTAGTGGCGAATCCTTGGTTAGGCAATTCCTTTACGGTCAACGGTTCTTCGAGAGCAATTTCGGCGAAAGATGTCAGACATTCTGGCTCCCCGACACGTTCGGATATTCAGGTCAGCTCCCACAGATATGCCGACTTGCGGGAATGACACGGTTCTTCACCCAGAAGCTCAGTTGGAACAACATCAACAACTTCCCGCACACCACATTCAACTGGGTAAGTCTAGATGGGAGTCAGGTCATCTGCCACATGGCCCCCAGCGAGACGTACACGGCAGATGCTCATTTCGGAGACGTCAGAAGGAGCGTCACCCAACATAAGAGCATGGATCAGGACAACACATCTCTGCTCGTTTTTGGCAAGGGAGACGGAGGAGGTGGACCCACTTGGGCAATGCTGGAGAAGTTAAGGAGATGCCGTGGTCTGAGCGACACGGTTGGATTACTCCCTCGCGTACACATGGGGAATTCCGTGGATGACTTTTATGCCAATCTGGAGAAGAAGGTGGCGGAGGGCACCGAGCTTGTCACTTGGTATGGTGAACTCTACTTTGAACTGCATCGAGGCACCTACACGACGCAAGCCAATAACAAGCTCAATAATCGGAAGCAGGAGGTCATGTTGCATGATGTCGAATATTTGGCAACTCTGGCAAGCCTGAAGAGCAAGAGCTACAAGTATCCCAAGAAGGAGATTGATGAGATGTGGGAGAATGTGCTTCTCTGCCAGTTCCATGACTGCTTGCCCGGCAGCTCCATTGAGATGTGCTATGATGACTCGGATGAACTTTATGCTCACAATGCGAAACTGGGAGAGAAGGTGATAGAGGAGGCACTCACGGTCCTGGGGCTGTCCCAGCACCTCAAAGCTAATGCTGAGCTTGCAGCGGTGAACACCACTCCCTGGAGACGTTCAGAATTGGTCAAGATCCCCCATGCCAACGCCAAGTCGCAAGAGCAGAAGTACACATACATCTCCGGCGGGCCGGGCGTATGTAAGACGCATGCCGCTTCGGCGGTTCAATCGACAGCGTCCATTGAGGAGGTGCGGAAAGGTGTCTTTGTCCTGAAGAACAGCATATTCCAGGTGGAAGTGGAGGCAGGTTGCATCACATCACTGATTGACCTGAGAGCAAATAGAGAAGTGATTGCCAAGGGCGGAAAAGGCAATCAGCTGGTGATGTTTGACGATAAGCCTTTGTACTGGCAGGCGTGGGATGTGGAGGTCTTCCACCTCGACTCCAGGAAAGAGCTCAAATCGGATGCATCTGAGATCGTCGAACACGGACCATACAGGGTGAGCGTGGCCACCAAGACGCAGGTGAGCAAGGACAGCTGGGTCAAGACAACCATCAGTCTCGATGCCTGCGACAATCAGACCCAAACTGGGTCCGTTCTGGTGGAGGCCGAAGTCGAATGGCATGAGAACATGAAGTTCTTGAAAGTGGAATTTCCCGTGGACGTTGTCAACACGGAGGCAAACTATGAGACGCAGTATGGAATCATTCGCCGCCCGACACATTACAACACAAGGTAAGGATTCTGCCACGTTTGACTGATAACCTGTCGTCCAAGTGCTGACGGTTCTAGCTGGGATATGGCCAAATTCGAGGTGTGCTGCCATAAATTTGCTGATCTCTCCGAGGCCAATTATGGGGTGTCGATCCTGAATGACTCCAAATATGGGTTTGCGACATGCGGCAATCTCATGCGATTATCGCTCTTGCGGGCACCTAAAGCACCCGATGCACACGCCGACATGGGCCGTCACCACATCAAATGGGCCATCATGCCTCACCAAGGAGCGCTGAGCAGCGATACCGTCCGGGCGGCCTACAACTTGAACCATCCAATGACGCTTGTGTCGGTGGTTGATGACAAGCCTCCAAAAGAGCTGTTCAATGCCGTGAGCGTCACGGGAGCCCCATCACTGGTCCTGGACTGCATCAAGCGTGGAGAAGACGACGAAGACGTCTCCCGAGGGGAACTCACCCTGCGAAAAGGACAGAGCGTGATCCTGAGAATTTATGAGAGTGTGGGCGGCAAGAGTCGAGGAGTGATTGAGACCACTTTGCCGGTGAAGAAGGTGTACGAGACCAACGTGCTAGAGGATGATGGTCAGCAACTGGAGATGTCGGGAAAGAACAAGATCAGCATTCCCATTGAGTTGCGGGCGTTTGAGGTGAAGACATTCCGGTTGCAATTGTAGTTGAACCAAAAGCGCCGTCAAGAAGACGGGGGAGGCATCTTTGAGGAGTCGACAAAAGTATCAATCGTATTGCTTGTTTTATTGCGTGCGCGCTCCCCTATGGGGTACCATGCATTGCGACTGAAAAGGGGCCCTTGGGGCATTCTCTAGTACCCACCGTATTACAGCGTATACCAAGTATGTAGAAATGAAAAAAAAAAAAGAGTGGAAATTGGCCTTGGGTGGCGCCAGGTGAGCTGCTTTAGCATGCGACAAGGCTGAAACATTTGTATGAATTTAGCGAACCTGAGTTCCTTTAAAGACTCCCTGTAATTTCGATGCCAACAGATTGGAGACGGACAGAAGCCGGGGAGAAGAGGAGGAGGTGGTGATGGTGGTGGTGATGGTGGTGGTGATGGTGGTGGTGGGCGGCGGGAAGTGTGGGCATAATAGGCGAGGATGTTAGGCATCGCAACGGGCATCAGCCATCAGCCATCCGCCATCCGCCATCTGGCATTGGCTCGCTGGATCGTGTGGCATATCGAGTCAGTGCCGAGTACGAGCCTCGAGCCCCCCGGCAGTCACCTGTATCCCAGTCGCCAAAGGCTAAAGCCTGGTGAGCCCCCATCAGCGGCCCAGCGAGGCGGTGACGGCGGTAACTGGAGGGTTGAATTTAGCTCGAGATTCGCTAAGCAAATCAGACAATTTCTTCGCCAGTTACTCAGTAGCCCATCCAGCCCATGTTCGGGTCTCCAGGGCAATTCACCATTGTATTATGAGAATGCCTCAACTTCTCCTTCACCTTCGATTCGGCGCGGCCCAAAACTATGCTTAGTCCCTCCTATCCCTCTTGCTACGTCTTTTGTTTATCTGCAGGTCTCAATCCGTGCAACCGGCCGTCGCCCGTCGCAGCAGCAGCGGCGTCTACACTCGGCCTGCCTCCCTTTTCCCTATCATCCTCTCTCTCTGCGCCCGCCGCAACCACAGTCTGAACAAACAGCCACGGCCGATGCTGGCTATTGGCGCAGCCTGCATTTGACAACGTTGATCGTCAAGTCTCCTACTAGACTTCCCAAACCCCGTCACCCCAACCCGAACGTCTGTCCCCTACAAGTTGCGGCGAGTGGCACGACCTCGCCGGATTTCAATCAGGTCTTCATTCAATGGACACTGAAGCGTCGAGCGTGGCTTAAAGCGCCGCCCGACCCCACGATCACTCGAGGCCAAAGGAAACAGCAGGCCTAATTTTTCCCTCTGCTCTGACGGCTACCTCGAGACCGATTCCACCTGCCCCGATCAGCCTCCTTCGCGCCATGGCGACCGTCAACGTTGGGGACACCGTCATGGTCCCCGGCGACATGCACGGCGTCGTCAAATTCATCGGGCCTGTAGCAGGGAAAAAGGGAATATTTGCAGGCGTTCAACTCGCTACCGAATATGCGCCTCGCGGCAAAAACTCTGGTGAAGTGGATGGAAAATATTATTTCAGAACCACAATCCCAGGCTCGGGTATATTCCTGCCCTTGGAGAAGGCCATCAAGAAACCTGGCAGTGCTGGCAGTGCAGGGCCGGGATTGGGACTCAGCGGTGTAAGAGCAAGTCCCGGACCGCCCACACCCACCAACAGGCTTGCCAGCTTTAATCAAGGTGGGAGGACACCTGGCGGGACGTCAGGTATTGCAAAACCCACCTTCAGCCAATCCATGGGCCCCGGCGGTATGAGACCGTCGGGCGCAGCCAGTCCGGCGCTGAAACCACCCCTAAGAAGGGAATCACTTCCACGGCCCTCGAGTCCACTGCGGAAAGTCAACACTCCTACACCCAGAACACTAGCGACGCCGAAGACACGACCCAGCGGCATTGGTCTTGCGAAGAGCACAAACGGAGGAGGACCTGGCGGACCTTACGCCAAACCGAACCAGCAACGAGGTGCCAACAACTTTAGCCAGAGTTTAAGACAGGGCAGCTCAACTGCATCTGCGAGCCCCTCACTGGGCCCTGAATCAAGTTTTGATGAAATTCCTGAACAAGAGGCTGAAACAACGCCAACACCGACACCAAATTTCAGCAGAAAGACGACCGAGACTAACGTGGAAAAGTACGAGACGAAAATCCGCGAATTGAACGAAGAACTAGAGGATGCGAGACGCCAATTACACGACCAAGGCACAAGTTTTGCCGAGATGGAACGCAATTTCAACGAGCTACAAAAACTTCTACCTGGACTGGAAGAAGACCAGCAGGCGGACAAAAGAACCCGAGAGGACGGTGAAGAAGACCTCCCTCGTGATGTCGTTTCCCTGCGGGAAGCCCTACGCGAGAAGAACGAAAAGATCAAAATCCTCACGGCGGAGTTCGACGCCAACCGCGCGGATTTTCGCTCTACGATCGATACCTTGGAAATGGCAAGTACCGAAACCGAACGCGTCTACGAGAAGAGGGTAGACGAACTGCTCGAGGAGGTGAGAAACTTACAGGATCGAAGTGAGGATGTCGAGACAGTAGCACAGCAACTTAAGCAGTTGGAAGAACTTGTTCAGGAGCTTGAGGAAGGGCTTGAGGATGCTCGGAGAGGGGAGGCCGAGGCACGGGGAGAGGTTGAGTTCTTGAGGGGCGAGGTCGAGAGGTCGCGAAGCGAGTTAAGGAGGGAGAAAGAGAGAATGAAGACGGAAGAGCAGTTGAATGGTGGTGGTGGGTACTCGTCCTCGTCCAAGGTGCAAGAGCTCGAAGCGCAGTTAACCGCAAAGGATGATGAAATAAGGGGATTGAAGGCCATCATCCAAAATCTGAACGCCAGCAGCCCCAAACGACCTAACGGCATCAACGTTGCCAATGGACATCAAAGGAAAGACTCGTCGCCTGTTGGCGATGGCGGAGAGGATGCCCTCCAACAACAAATCCGAGACCTTGAACTCCTCCTGCAGCAAAAAAGCGCGCATGAGGAGGAACTTGTGCAAGAAGTTAGACAATTACGGAATAGCGTCACGCTTTCGAAGTTCCCCATGCCGATGACCGGCGCTGCATTTGGCATCCATACGGGTATGCGTACAGGGCACTCTAGAGGAAACAGCGAGGAATTGGATCGCAAGCATCTCAGCACCGGTACGATAGGAAGTCAGAGGACGGTAGTCCTTGGGCCGGTGAAACGAAACGGTGCAAGTGGGCATGAACGGCAAGACAGCCAAACCACGGGCCAGGAAGCCTGGCATGATGCTTCCTCTGGAGGAGCGTCACCGGTGAGACAACGTCACGATTATGACACAGGTGTGAGAGAACATGAGAGGTCTGATGATGGCGTCACGGATGTCTCTACTTCTGAAAGTGCAGTATTATGGTGTGAGATCTGTGAAGAAGGCGGCCACGATATCTTGACCTGTGGAAACATGTTTGGGCCTGGCAAGAAGGTTACTTCAGACATGGAGCCGTCTGGTACGGATGCCAAGGATGGGAGAGTTGTCGCGCACGAGGGACAGCGGCGGGATGGTGAGGGAAACGGTGATATTGCTGAACAGACGCTGGCAGTGGCGGCAGGGGCCCGAGATCCAGATCGACCTGCTCCCCTTATGAGTCGGAAATTGCCCAACCACACCATCCTTTCGCCATCCGACATGCACCCCAACCCGCCGCCGACCGAAGATCTGCCCTCTCCGCCCATTGCATTAGAAGCACCCGACACTCCGATCGCGAAGGCGGCGAACCCCCCTATTCCCACCACGTCCACACCCACGGCTGCTCTGGCTCCCGCGAAACTCATCGAAGGAACAGGCCTACAAGCCGGCATGTTAGCCGGGCGGTCAACGGGAGTCATAGACCCAGAGAAATGGTGTGCACTGTGTGAGCGCGACGGACACGAGAGCGTCGACTGTCCTGTTGAAGAGGCTTTCTAGGGAAGAGATCTCGTTTGAACAGCGATATCGAGATGCGGATATTACGAAGATCAAGAAATCAAAGGCCTGTCTGGTCGAGGCCGAGACATAATACCTGCCCACTTACCGAGTGCTTTGATGAGTGAGGGCTTGCTTTACTGTCGATGTGCGTGTCTCGTGATGAAAAGGCTCCAAAGGGAGAAACTACGAAACCGTTGTGTCACGCCGCTGCCGCCCGTTGGGAGTTTTGTGTATGGATGGATTGATGGATGGGTGGATGGGAAAAGAAAAGGTCTGAGCAAAAGATGCTCTCGTCTTCTGGGTCGATGGTCGATGTGTTTGTATTAAATCTGGTAGATATGTACCTAATCTTGTCCCCCTCCCGAGCCCCCTTTTCTTTGCTTGAAGAGCTGTATGTATGTATAAATTTGTTCAATAGTATTTTTTTTGGGTTCAATTTTGACCTGTCTGTCTGCCATCTAATATCAATCAATCGATAGAGCTATTCCGAGACGCAGTAATGCCGAGACGTATATTGTTTGTTGTATACAATGTGTAGTTCACCCGCCTCGCCACCTATTCACCTTGCACATGCCCTTGGCCCTTTTCCTCCGCCTGCCTGCCTCCCTCTGTTGGCTGTGTGAATCTTTAACGTGTTATCGGACTTGCGAGTTTCTTCATCAGCTCCAATGTCCCGGGCACATCGTCGCTCTTCATCCGCCCCATGCCGCACTCGGTGGCGATACCCCATGTGACAATAGGCCCGGAGGCGCTGTCGTCGGCAGTACTACTGCTCACGCTGGTGCTTCTGCTAATGGGGTCGGCGTCGATAATGCTGCGCGCCGTCTCCAGACGCCTCTTCGTGCCCTCTTCGTCCCTCTCCCGGACCAAGCCCAGATACAGCAGCGTGCCGTGCGTCCGGAGCAGCGGGAGCAGTTCTCTCAGCGGCGCAAAGTACGCCGCGTCGTCCCGCTCCTTAGGTACCGGCATATGGATGTAGTCCACCTTGTGGCTGAGACGAGGCCGAATCGCCTTGGCCGTGCGCACCATCATGGCCATGTCCCGCGGCTCGATGAAGTGCTTGTGTCCGAAGTCGCCGTAGCAGAAGTGGAAGCCCAGCTCCACGTCGCCGGCGATGTGGTAAGCGCCGGCGAACAAGACTACACGGTCGACCACGCCGCGGAACACGACGTCGCGGATGTCCTTCTTTCCATCGCGGTCTCCGTCTTCGTCGACGTCGCACCACCACGGCTTGCTCCCTTCCATCCGGGGCACCCGCTTCCACGTCTCCTCCAGCACGGCGAATTCGTTGGCGCAGCCAATCTGCACGGCGAGATCCTGGTGACCAGAGCGCGCAGCAAGGCCGCCATGTAGTACGACTCGACGAATGCCTTGTATTTCTGGGCAACGGCCGAGGTTAGCGCGTTCAGCGGCGTCGGGATGCAGACCTGGAACTTGACGTCCGCTGGGACGGAGCCCGCGGCGCGCATCTCTGTAAAGACTCGATACGACTCGATCGCCGCCGTGTCGTAGCCCGTCTCCAGCCGCTCCTCCAGGTACCGCGTCACCTCGTCGATATCTCGGAGGGGCTGCCGGTCGGGTAGTGCCTTGTGTTCACGAGCTGCGGGTACGGTAGGAAGAGCTCGCGCTGGAAGAAGACAAAGTTGCCGCAGGACGAGGGCTCCCCGTCTGGGATGCTCCGGATGTGGTTTGGGATGGTCGAGCCGAGGAGGTTGAAGACGTCGCGAGTCGTCGGCAGAGGGAGGGAGCCGACGGAGTGCACGCGTTGCGGGTTTCATATGGCTGTGGAGGTCACGTTGACGAGAGAGAAGCGCCTGAGGCTAGAAATTCAGGTGTGAGAAATGGCAACGAGAGCTCAACTGACGAGTTCAACCGGCGTCCGAACGCATTTTTGATAGAACTTCGTGGGTGCCTTGGGCCCTTATACAAACCTTTTCTCTTCGCGCAAATCTCATGTTACCTGTTCGGTGTACTCTTCCTCGCATAAACCGTAAGGGACGTTCCGAGGATCATGGTTTCATCACTTACTGCTGCCTTTCAAGCACCAAGGCCTCTGGGTACGATTGCGTATGACGAACAAGCAACGGCATGACGCGCGAGATCTAGAATCAGGGCATTCGCCTGACATATACCACAGCGCTGCTATTGTCTCTGGGACTTTGAGCTAAGGAGGCCCTTATAGCCAAATGGCAGATGGCCTAGAAGATTAGGGGCAAGAATAGACGCGGGGATGGAAAGTCCGTTTCGACTTACATGTCCGAAGTGCGTCTTCTTCTCGGCCTTCAAAGGTCAGGAATCCGGTCTTTTCACCATGCAGAACAGATGCCAAATAAGCGGACGTGTACAGTAGATTTGGACCCCCCGTTGCGTGAGAAGCATGAGTGACCGCTCATTCTAAACTGGGGAAATAGAGCAGGCAAGGCCATTCATCAGGTGGACTCCCCCAGCTTATGCGGCAGAATGCTGACACGGGGACAACGTTAGCTACACTTTGGGATATGTAAGAGGATTAGTGTTTGCCACTCGTCATAACTCATCTGATTCTCAAGCATATATACATCCCTTCCTCTGCTCCGTAGGAACAGACACACGAACAAAGGAGGGAACCTGAAATGCGGATATCAGTATGATTGGTAAGCAAGTACGAGGGGGAAAAGCAAGCAAGCAACTATTCGAAAGCTGCGAGCCTTGCAAAATGTCAAAAGCCCCGGATTGAGCGCGTAGTAAAATTGGGAGACGAGACTTCGGTGAAGTGGTGTCGGGAAAACCGTAGACGTATTGGTGAAGGTTGTGAAGGTCGTCCGAATGGAAACTGGAAAGGGGGAGGCAGCCTTGTAGGGGCACCAGGGGGTCAACTTTTTGCTGGTGCACGTGACATATGACCGTGGGCTCGTCGACCCTGCAAGGGAAACTATTGAAAAGGACAGGGCAATATCATTGGAACATGTCGGCGTGCAGGGGGACTTTGTGCTAACAGACAGGAGGATAGAGAGCCGGGGAAAAGACGCTGTCGTTGATGCTTTGGCAAACCAGTTTCAGGATTGCACGGTAATTTCTACGAAAAGACTGCCTAGCTGGTAGAAGACGTGGAGGATGATTCGACGCGTCGGGGTTTTTTACAATAAGGATCCGGAAAAGAACCTCGGGATTCTCCAGTGCTGCTTGAGTAGGCACAAACCCCGGTGTAGCTCGCAAGCCTCCTCCGAGCTCAACCCCCCTTAAATGAACACCCTCAGTGCTTTGGTCCACCCGGTTCGTCCTTTCTCCGCCGCAATTTCCAGACTTCCTCGCCTGATACCCATCGTGACATCCATCTCGCTCGTGCGAACGAACATCTTCCGATCACGCGAGTAGATCTTCCATCCCAGGTACAAAGCGATGACAATCGGCGCAGCAAGGAAATTCTCGAAAAACACCTCTGCATCAGGGCTGGAACCAAGTGGAAACAGAGAAGTGTAGAACGTTGCAATGATAGCCAGGGCGTTTAGGCCGAATCCGATGTAGGACCCCCAGATTCCGAAAGCGGCTTGGTAGGGTAATTGATGTTTTGTGAAGCCGTGGGCATACCTGATGCGAAAAAGTTAGCTCCTCACTTGTAGACAAGGGTCAGATTCTGAGAATTACCATCCGTGTCGGAATCCTAGCATTTGTTAGGACGAGGGTCGTCTTCAATGCGGGCCAGTGGAGTGGACTTACTGATATGCGCGAGATTGATGCTCATCCACAGGAAGAAAAAGCTCAGTCCAGAGAGGGAGAGTAACCAGGTGAAGATCGTGTCAGAAGCATTCGCTTCACCAATATACGCGAGGCAGCCGAACAAGAGTTGGATCACGATACACCAGAGCGGTCTCCCCTGCCTGTCGACATACATCAAAAATTTTGGGCCCATTCCTCTCGCCGCGAGGGCTTGCATGGTACGTGAAGAGCCGTAAGTGCAGCTATTAGCGACGCTAATAACGGAAATAGTGATGACCGCATTCATGACGGACGGCAGCCCTTTGACACCGGCATATTTGATGGCCAGGACAAAAGGAGAAGCTTTCGTATTGGCGCCGCTGGCTCCCAGAAGGTCTGGGCTGTCGGATGGCACGATGAGCCCGACAATGAAGAGCGAAAGGACGTAAAATGTCGCAATACGCCAAAAGACTTGTCGAGTGGCTTTGGGAAGGGAGCGATGAGGATCAGCAGCTTCCGCGGCCGCCAATCCCACGAGCTCTGTTCCACCAAAGGCAAAAGCTGCTGTGACAAAGACACTAAAAGGTCAGCTGGATCCGGATCAAACTTAGTCTGCAAGAAGACATACGTGCAGAAGCCTTTGAACCCATTCTGAAAAGCGCCTGGGTCGTGCCAATATCGAGCACCAATATAGCCGCGATGGTCGGAAGAGACGCCGCCACAGTCAACCACAATACCGAAGATGATGAAACCTATGCAAGCGGTGATTTTGATCATAGCCAGGACAAACTCCACCTCGCCGTAGCCGAGCACGCCGAAGATCTGGACTAGACATAGGAAAACCAGGAAGACAGTGATCCAAACGCTGACGTGGATATCATCTCTCCAGTATTCAATGGTGATCGAGGCCGCGGTAAGTTCAAAGGGCAAGACGGTCAGCCAGCCAATGGCGTAGTCCTGGATGGTAGTTAATATCTCGGAGGATGAGCGACCATGTCACAGATCTTGAGAGCACTTACCCAACCGACCGCGAAACCGATGGATGGGTCTACGAATCGAACAATGTAGGTATAAAACGCGCCATTCACGGGGTAGAGTACTATCAAACATTTTCAGCAAGACGGTCTCCGAGATTGAGAGAGATTTTCTGACACCCACCGGCCAATTCTCCGAGCGCCTGCATGGTGCAGAGCAGCATGAAGCCAATAATGATGAAACCGAGGAGCAGACTTCCAGGCCCGCCCTTGTGCAACGCACTGCCAGAGCCGACGAAAAGACCAGCACCGATCGAGCCACCTTGAGGAAATGTGTGTTAGAATGGACAGGCGTCGATGGGTGCGAATGGGCAGCCGTACCAATTGCTATCATCTGCATGTGTCGCGACCGCAGCTTTTGAGCAAGCGGGTTGTGCTGTCTGTTCACGGGATCCGTCTCATCCTCGTATGTGATTTCGCCAGCCAATTTCTGCATCTTAGGGTCGTTGAGTTTCTCGGGGTCGATGTCACGGGTTGTGCCAGAGGCATCATATGGCGACGAAGAGGATTCATCGTGGGCCACGATTTCCTTTTCCTCGGGTTCGGCCATGTTTGGTAGCAGACAAGCTCAGGAGACAAGCTCAACAAGAGAGAAGCGATAGTGAAGGGAAAAGTCACAAACCAGGGCAGCGGGCAGCTTAAGACAAACCACGCAGGCCAAGGAGGGTTGCATTACTTGAACCTGGCCACAAGTCTATCATTTCCTAGTAGGTGCTCGGTAGGCAGTCAAGTGATCGTCGAGTACGGAGTACCCAAGCAAAAAGTGACAGCCATCCTGGGAGGAGTACAGCATGATGTCTCCTTGCTGCAGTGGAGCGGACCCTGCACCGACGACAGCCGCCCTGAAGCGAGAGGAGGCATCAGAGGGAAACGCCAAGAGAGTGAAAATCGATGTTGTCGAGGTGGCGATGGTGGCATTGGAATCTGGGGATCAAAGCAACATGGAGCAGGCAGATGATGATGATTGATGATGATGGTGATGGTGATGAGCGTCGTGGTTGGATTTTGCGGGGGAATTACCTAGGGCGATTTCGGGGGGGCCAATGGTCGATGTCTACTGTACCTAATAGCAAACAAGGAGAGAGGAAAACTTCGATATAGCCCGCGACCAATTACCACAGCAGCCCCAGCAGCCCCAGCAGACTCTCCACTTGGTTTCGTGGTATCATGCCAGCAACGCGTGGGCGACGTGGGCCGTGTGGACGACGGAGGTGGCATGGTGTTTGTTGATCTCTCTGCGGGCATCGGCACTTCTTGTTTCCCGGCCACACACGAAGCCTTGAACGGCAAAGGGCCATCCTCTCGCACAACAGGGACCGACAGCGTCAGAGGCTGCTGAGGCGGCGGGAACACCGTCATACTCGAGATCGATCTTGTCCCCGCCTCGGATGGCTTTGATGGCTTGGACGGCTTCTAGAGCTCCTTCGATGGCATCTCGCACCAATCGCCGAACAGATGGCTGATCATTACGCGCTCCCCCGGAATTTCGTCCTCGGAAACAGTCTTCAATTCCACAGCTTTGCTCTTGCATTTATACTCCTCTTCGGCCTCCTCGTCGTGCTTGCTTTCGCTGTCGTCTTCTTCTCTTCCCCTGCGCCTCGTCCTCAGGAACCTCCTGCCTCCGATCCCGACTTAGAGAGACACCCCCTGCTCTCGGACGAAGCCCATTCAAGATGAATCGTGACGAAGGTGAAAGACCTGGCGTAGGCACCCTCACCGGAGAAGAAGTAGCCAAACACAACTCGAAAGAGTCGTGTTGGGTTATCGTCCATGGAAAGGCCTATGATGTGACAGAGTTTCTACCAGGTTTGCAACAGCCACCTCAGAAAATCACCTACAGCTGGCTGACCACTATCCAGAGCATCCCGGAGGTTCCAAGATCATTCTCAAGTATGCCGGCAAAGATGCCACCGAGGAATTCGACCCCATCCACCCCCCTGATACCTTGGACAAGTATCTGCCTCCAGAGAAACATCTGGGCCCCGTCAACATGGAGACCGTCCAGCAGGAAGAAAAGGAAGAGACTCCCGAGGAAAAGGCCAGACAAGAGCGTATTAAGAACATGCCCCCTCTCGAAGCATGCTATAATCTCATAGATTTTGAAAGTGTCGCAAGACAGGTGATGAAGAAGCCGGCCTGGGCATACTACAGCTCGGGTGCCGACGACGAGATTACCATGCGAGAAAACCACTCGGCCTTCCATAAAATCTGGTTCCGGCCCAGGGTGCTGATTGACGTGGAAAAAGTGGATATCAGCACGACCATGCTCGGGACGAAATGCGACATCCCTTTCTATGTCACCGCAACCGCACTCGGGAAGTTGGGCAATCCCGAAGGGGAAGTCGTCCTGACCAGAGGGGCAAAGAAGCACAACGTTATCCAGATGATCCCGACCTTGGCCTCTTGCAGTTTCGACGAGATCTGCGACGCTCGGGAAGGCGACCAATGCCAGTGGCTTCAGTTGTACGTCAACAAAGACCGGGAGATCACAAAGAAGATAGTCCAACATGCAGAAGCACGAGGCTGCAAAGGTCTCTTCATCACGGTTGATGCTCCCCAGTTGGGCAGACGAGAAAAGGATATGCGCAGCAAGTTTGACGACACTGGCTCCAACGTCCAGAAACAGAGCGGCGAGAACGTTGACCGATCCCAAGGCGCCGCCAGAGCCATTTCGAGCTTTATCGATCCCAGTCTCAGTTGGAAAGACATCCCCTGGTTCTTGAGCATTACGAAGATGCCCATCATCCTCAAGGGTGTTCAGCGGGTTGAGGATGTCCTGAAGGCCATCGAGGCCGGCGTCCACGGCGTTGTCCTTTCCAACCACGGCGGTCGCCAGTTGGATTTCGCCCGTTCTGGCGTCGAAGTCCTTGCCGAAGTCATGCCCGTGCTCCGTGAGAGAGGTCTGCAAGACAAGCTCGAAATCTTTATTGACGGAGGCGTTCGTCGAGCAACGGACATTATCAAGGCTTTGTGCCTAGGTGCCAAAGGTGTAGGAATTGGCCGGCCATTCCTGTTCGCAATGTCGGCTTATGGACTGCCCGGCGTGGATCGTGCAATGCAGCTGTTGAAAGACGAGATGGTAATGAACATGAGGCTGATCGGTGCTTCCAAGGTGGAAGACCTGACGCCAGATATGGTCGACACGGCTGGCTTGAGGTACCACACGTCGACCGTCCCGCAAGACACTCTCGGAATCCGAGCCTACGATCCTCTGATCACGCCCCACGAGATGCTCAAGGCGAGACTTTGAGTTCTCCGACCCGACAAATCTGGACTCGGGTTTTCCGGGCGACATCTGTATATGTTTTTGGGATACACGAGATATAGGGGCACCGGGATCATCAAGTGTGATTGTGAACAAACCTTGGGAGCATAGAGGGTTTCCTCCTCGACCCTAGACTTATTACTAGTGACGGCCGATCTCAACATGTAACTATCCACGGGATGAGCTGTACGGGTGACTGGCGATCCAGCCGACTCACTCCGAACTAAAGGCATTTTCCCTTGGAAACACGAGAATGATCCGAGGATCTTGACGTGATGTTTCAGGTCTGGTCCATTTGTCGACAAACTCAACCCAGCGCAGGCGATATTTACACAACAGATACTCCCACAATCATGCATTTCGCGCTACGTTCCTCAGCACATCTTTGCCTCACTAGTAGTATCGGGTTATCACCCTCAGCGCCTCATCCCTTGATAGTCATTTTCGTCATCTTCGCCATGCATCTCTTCCTCGGCGCGGCGGCCTGGCTTCTCACCGTCAGCACCGCCGTAGGAATGATCCTTGCGGAGGTTATCCCGAAGTGATCATCCAACAAAGTTCGGTCAGTCAATAACGATCATCGACCATGGCACCCGGACTTTGTTCCCTGATGGCACACTGTGTCTGGAAGCTGGGACGTCTCAACTATGTTGCCGTTTAGGATCACACCCACTCCCGAGTTCACGAGCTCAACGACGCAGGGAGCAATCGCCGAGCTCTCCGTGGCACTGGACAAACACTGCAACCTGGGAGATAAGTCTGGGACATGGGATAAAGGTCGCGTGGATCTCGGACGAGGAACATTGGGCTGGCTCGCAGGGTCTGTCCTCCTGAATAGTTGTCTGGGTAGCATCTGTACTCCATAGGCACACTCTGCTACGTTCGGTGATAGTAAGATGGATATTTCAATGAAGCTTGGGCCTTCTAAGCAAAATGTAATTATCCATTTTAGCCCCTTCCGGCGGCACGCGAGCGTGAGCGCGTGACTAAATTATGCACCGAGGAATCACAGTCCCCTTGGCCCATAAAGTTATGTCATACCGACGGCAATCACAATTGTATAGAGGAGCCTTACTACTTGCCCAGCCCGGTGTGCACCTTGTACAGAGTACTTCTTCATGTTATGGACATGATGGCGGGTCAAGGGAAAAGCTGACTGAAGCCTCGACCATCCAAGATCATGCAGTTGAGGCTTTTTCGACCGTCTTTTCCAACCCAATGTCTGTTCTCGCACGGAAGGTCAGGAATGGTTCAAGATACATGAGAATATCTCGGGCTTGAACGGTGTGTTGGTGCAATCGCGGCATGTGAAATCTCTCCCAGAACCATGCTCCTGCTCCATCAGACTGGCGCCGTCAGGGTTGGTGAGGTCGTAAGGTACCGTGTCCACTCCCTCTTCTCGGTGTCCGTTAACCAACTTCTCGCCTGGCAGATATACCGTAACTTACACGCCCAGCCTCGACCGTATCCTCCCGCCCCCTACACAATTGCATGTGAAAATAAAGAATACGGTCGCCGCGCCTCTTCGCGCCGCTTATTTACATGGACCTTATACTCTCTACGTGGCATGCTATCCCTCCACTTTCGATCCCTACAAGAAACACCAAGCTGCCCTGACGGAAGGAGCCCCGGACTTTGAACCGCAGCTAAAAGCCGGTGGACAATGGAACGCGAAACTCACAGTCCCCGAGCATGTCAGGGAAGATGCCCAGAGACAGAGTATAGATGTGAAAGGCGGAGACGGAGGAGGGAGCGAGAGAAAGAGCTTCACGTGGATCATCGAGATAGCTTCGCAGGTGATTTTTTCCAAAACAGCTAGCGTTGACTATGAGGTCCTTGTTGGACGTGACGAGAAGTCGGTCGAACTGGGGTTCCACGGTGTCATCGGATCCGGGCAAGGTGCTCCTGGTCGACTCGAAGATCATCAGCAATCTCGTTCTCAAAAACCACACAACCCGCACCATCCGAAGGGCGTCTTTTCTAAGGCGGTCAGGTTGGCGGTGGATGACACCCACAGTCTCTGGAACACCCCTCCGTTTCCTCAATGGGAGAAAGAAGACAGCGGGAAACCCAAAGTGCGAGTGGAACAGGGACCCCGACACGGCGACAAGAGAGATGCCGACGCGAAACCGGAGAAAACGCGAAACAAGCAGAAGAAGATCCACTTGGTCCTGCTCACCCATGGTATTCACAGTAATGTGGGCGCGGATATGCTGTTCATGAAGGAGAGCATTGATACGGCCGCGAAACAGGCGAAGGAAGATGCGAAAAGAAGACGAGCCGAG